TGTCAAAACTTCGGGTTGCAAATAACCTGAAATCCCTTCCCCAGATTTCTCTGCAGGACTGTGCATGCCCGCTCCAGAGCCCCGCCCTCCCCATCATCCTGTCACTAACTTGTGTTTTCCTGCCGTCATTCCTCTGAGTTACAGCTTATATTTAAGTTTGCTCCAGTATCATTTCAGAACATGCCAAAGTTCACACACTTGGTTGACCTTCTAAAGGTCAGATCTCTCTTCTTTACTTCTGTCATTTGTCATTGTCATGATCCCTCATTCAAACCACTGAGATAAGCCCCTTAACTGATCTCTGCCTTTGATCTGTTTTATAAGCAAACTTCACAACTTAAAGATTTTTTTTAATATTTACTTATTTTTGAGAGGGGGTGGGGAACGAGCAGGGGAGGGGCAGAGAGAAAGGGGAACAGAGGATCCGAAGCGGGCTCTGTGCAGATGATACAAAGTCCCATGTGGGGCTCAAACTCACAGACTACGAGATCATAACCTGAGCCACAGTCAAACATTGGACTGGACCAAGCCACCCAGGTGCCCATACTCAAAGATTTCTAAAACATCAGTGCAATCACATTTGGCCCTGCCCTTCGACAGCTCCCCATCCAACACCTGGTCCAGTCAGTTCTCAGCAAATCACAACTCAGGCCCTCTCTGCTCTCTCTCCTTCTTCTGCCACCTTCCCATGAGTCATGTAAAAAAGTAAAAACTAGGGGCACCTGGGTGCCTCAGTCAGTTGAGTGTCTCAGGTCATGATCTCGCAGTTCATGGGTTCGAGCCCCGTATCGGGCTCTGGGCTGACAGCTAGCTCAGAGCCTGGAGCCTGCCTCAGATTCTGTGTCTCCCTCCCTCTCTCTCTGCTACTCCCTGTCTCTCTCTTGAAAATAAATAAACATTAAACATTTTTTAAAATAAATAAATAACAAAAACAAACTAACAATTACTAGAACCTTCATGTCATGGTCTGTCTTGTCTCTAGGGTTTATACATGCCCTTGTTTCTACTTGGAATTTTCTTTCCTGCTTTTCTTGTGTATTGAATGTCTACTCATCACTTAAGACTAAACTCCTGGGTCACCATCCCATTCCAGCTGCCTGGCCCAGAGCCAGATGTGCCCTATCCTGTTTTTCAGTAGAACTTTTCATGAACCAATTTTATCACTTCAAACACAGCACAGGAATTCTTTCTTCACTTTATACTTCACTATATAGGAATTTTTTTTAAGGCTAGGAGCTATGTTAATTATCCTATTCCCAGGGCATAAAATAAGGCCTGATGCATAGCAGATTCTTAATTATTTGCTGAATGAGTGAAAACTATTGGGACATCCACAACACTGCAGGTCGGAGCATGTGAATACAAGTCCTAGAAGATCTCCCATAAGGAAAAACGCTAATGAATATCTTGCGGAATGTGGACAGTTTCCCAAAACCAAAAACAGGAAACCCACTGAATTCAATACATTGACTCGTCTTCTTTTTCATATTTAACACTGTTACGTCTGATCTTTCTTGCGCATTATACAAGGTAAGCTCACTGCGGACAGGGACCGCAAGTAGTTTGTTCAGCCCCATAGGACAGATGCTCTGATGTCATTTTCCTATAAACGGAATTGCCTGGAAAACACTTTAGCTGCAGCTCACTCTCCATACTTGCCTTGTCCCTGAATGGCAGTCATTCTTATGCAGATCATCTCAACTAGGTTAGATGTTCTTTCTGGTGAGGGTCTACCATCTTTTTTTTTCCCCCCAGAAGAGTGCCTTGCACACAGTAGGTATTCAATCAATATGTGACAAAAAACTTAGAACCCTAATCCAGGAAACACTGAGAGAATTTGAAAATGTAACTTTGAAGGTGATGTTTTCCATCCTAAACTAAAAGGCTTTGCATTGCACAAATAACTCCGGATTAAACTCTTCGTGGCAAGCATGCCTTGGGAAGTACAGCTCAGTGCAAAAACTGGGGGCTGACAACCTAAATATCTGGGGGCCGACCACACTTACCTCATAACAACAAACAAACCAACCAACCATACCAGGCCTATGTGGTTGCAATACTCTCCACCTACGAAGCCAGTGCTATAAATTGCCTTAGCTGGTGCCATTAGGCAGGCACTGTGTGCATCTTTGAATGATCTCTGAATAAGTGGCTTATACCTGAGGGATTATGCATGGGTATAATAAGAGGGACTGAGATGGAATTCTAAATGTAAAATCCGAGAAAATTTATTCTTGAAGTGCAGTTGACATACAATGTTCTATTAGTTTGAGGTGTGTAACACAGTGACTTGACAATTCTATACATTCCTGAGTGCTCACCATGGTAAGTAAGGCCACCATTTGTGAGACTGAGTTTTCTGAGCAAAGTTTCCAGTTAGTGTGAGAGGTAAACTCCAAGATCACAGTTTCGTTAGCTTAGTCGGCTACCAATAGCCCAGCCCACTTGTCAAATGCTGTTTTCCCACATCAAGCTTTACATGACACAAGACATAAAAAGAGAACTCACCAAGACAAATGGATTTGAACAGAGAAGACAGACAACAGACAAACAGATTGGAACAGACAAATGGCCAAAACTGAGGAGTTTAGGGATATCCAGAAACACTGGAAGAGGCTAAAATAATCGGTCCCCCAGAAAGGAGATCACCTAGAGATGAGAACTGCTTCTAGTAAACTGCCACGTTTAATTCACAGGCTGAGGAATTTCTGAGGAGGAGCTGAGGGAGACTGAATACTTTACAGCAACAAGAAAACTTTAAGAGGTAAGGGGAACAGTCTGGATACTTCTATGGGCCTGGGTCCCTACTAGAATGGGGAGGGGTGGAAGCTCTTGCTTTGCATGAGGGCTGTCTCACCCACAGGGGCCTAGTAAAGGCCGCCCTTGGTGGTTCCCAGCCATATGTTCACTAGACCCTCGGGGGAGCTTTTAGAAGAACCTAGCCGAGTCTGGTTGCTCCCCCCAGAGATGCTGATTTAATTAGTCTGGGTCAGCCACCGTATTTTTAAAAGCTGCCCAAGTAATTAAGTACAGTAGAGTTGAGAACTAGCTACTGGGCTAGATATGGGGGCAGAGGAGAGGAAATAAATCACTTCCACATTTTTTCCCTCAGAATTAGGCAGTGTTTCCAAAAGTGTGACAAGACCACAGATGGCCCTAGACACAGTATTCGATCTGATGGCACATGGATGAGCCTTCTTTACATATATATATACACACGTATATAGGTCCCTATATACATACATGTATCCTTACATACCGTTACATATATGCATGCATACACACATATATGTAAATACAAAAGTACATACTTGAGTAAATAGTAAAAAAAATATACCCAATGTATCAAATTTGAGAATTCATGTATACTATTGCTTAGGATGAGGCTAAAGTAGGTACTGAGGTTTAGAAAGTGAATCCAAGCGAGCATTCTATAAATCCTAGTACAGGTGGAATGCAGATATAGCAAAAATGCCTAAAAGTGGTATGCAAATAAGCAGAGTTTGAGGAACGTGGGACTAAAGCAGCCCAGGACGTATACAAGCTTTCTCCCCAGATCTTACTGCTCTAAGCTCGTCACCCCCACCCCCACCTCCTACACACACACACACACACACACACAAACACACACCGGTGCCCGGGCCCAGTGCCATCCCCTCACTACTCTCCTCACATGGATGCCCGCGCCTCATCCCAAGCGTTCAGATGCTTCCGAACTGGGCTCAGACTCAAAACCAGCCTCTTCCAGCCTCGCAGTCACGATCCGATTACTGATGTCGTCGCCTGTAACTCACTTGTCTCCTTTTGCAGATTCAAATCTGAGCTAAACTTAACTTAGCACGCCTTAGCCACCTTCACACAATAGGGCAGAAAACCAACGCTCAGAAGGCGTTCCGGCCCCCCACGCACAAAAGCGAAACCAAAGCGACCAAATCCAGGTTATGCAAACTCAGAGGAGGTGAGGGAAGAGGGATGAACCCTCCATACCGAGCAAACAACATCAGGAAGGCCAGAGGCTGGCCACCCCTGCCCCCTGGATCTGCCATTCTCAGGGCGTGATGCAACCTCGGGTTGCCCAATTTATGTTTGCACATTTCCCCTGCTCCACAACGAGCTCCAAAAGCTTCCAACTCCATAAAATTGCTTTAACAAAGTTAAAGTCTCTAGCCCAATAAGGTTGCACGGCAGGCCAGGTGACCTCGCCTTCACCAGGCCCAGCGAAGTGTGCTGAGAAGCGTCGACTTGCACGGGTCAGCTAGGAAGCCAGAAGGCGCAAAGGCAGGCAGGCAGCGAGCAACCTGACAGCCACTTCTGTACCTCCCCCACCAACGGCGGCCACGCTCACGCCCAATTTATTAGAAACTGCCAAGAGCACGGTTCACACTTGACCTTTCCCCCCTTCCTTGCCTCCTGAGCCCTGCTCCTCTCCTCAATCCAAAGGGCACGACTAAGGGAAAGGGAAGGGGGTGGGCAGGCCCGGGTCTTAAGCCCGCCTTCCCTTCCTGGCACCTCCGCCTCCAGGCCTCCAGCTTTTCACGTCGTGGCAGCTTTCAGGTCACTCAGTCATCGGCTACACCTTTGCACCACCCAACAAAATGGCAGGTTAGCAACAGGCGAGGCCCAGAGTGCCTGCCCTGGCTCTGGCCAAGCGCGGCCCCTGGCCAAGCCGCCGGGGGTCTTCCGCGGCGCCCCAAGTCCAAACACGCTTCCGCTCTCAAAGTCCCCAATCCTGGGCCCCGCCGGGCCGGCTGCTCGCTCTCCCGGGGCCATTTCTGTCGCCAGCGGGGAAACAGGTGCCAGCGTAACAGGTGCCAGGCGAGAGGGCCCAGGTTCAGGCTGCGCTGGGCATGCGGAGGACAGGACCCCGGGAGGGGCGCAGGGAAAGGCCACGTCCAATGTCAGGGAGCTGGGACCCGCGCAGAGGGAGCCGGTCAGCGGACGCAAGGATGCCGCTGCGGGTGCTGGCTCCCCGCGCGCCGCGCCGAGCCTGCCCCACTTACAATCTCCAGGCAGACGAAGGCACCCGAGTAGGTCCGCAGGATGTCCGGGCCGGCGGGCAGGGTGATCCGGGGCGCCGGGAAGGACACGGCGGGGTTCGGGGGCGGCGGGACTGGCGCTCCGCCGGCCGACATGCTGCCGCTGCCGCTCTGCGTCTCTGCGCGCCGCCGCCGCCTCCCTCCGCCCGCCTCCGCCGCCCGGGCTCCCGCCGCCGCCGCCGCCGCCGCCGCCCGGGTCCGCGGGGTCCCGGCGCACCGCGCGGGAGGGGGCGTGGCCGCGCTGTCGAGGGCCGCGGGGGGCCCCGCCCCGTCACGTGGGTCCAGGTGAGCGCGCCGAGGCCGCCGCGGCGCCCGCGCCGGTCACGTGCACAGGTGCGGCGGCCGCCTGGCGCTGTCCTTCCTGCGCCTTCCTCGCCCCGCCGCGGGCCAGCGCCCTGCTCTCGATTCGTTTCCCGTAGCCCGCTTGGTTTCCACCTGTTCCCTTCCACCTGTCCTACCCCTCCTCCTGCGCTCACAACTTCCCTACCCTACTTTCCTCAATGTAGCTGTAAGACAGGTCTTGAAATTGTGACTCAGAAAGTAAAATCAGGGTCACTAGGCACACCTAAAAAGTGGGGTGGATCTGCCTTAAATGGGACTCTAGTGGGGTTTTAAAAACACCGCTAGGACAGTCAGACGGCTCAGCTCCAACACCTGTGGGTGGTGGATGCTGGAAGGGTAACTGGCTTCTTTGTGAGCCTGGGGTGTGCTCATCTGTGAAATGGGGGTAAGGATATCAACCTCCTGTGATTACAATCCTCCTTCCAAATAACATTAACATGGAAAGAGCTGAGACCATGGTAAGTGCTCTTTTAATGGTAGCTAATAATGACGACTGCTGTGTTTTTGAATTTTGATATATACTCATGTCATGCTTTTGTGTACACATGATGTTGCGTGGGCTGGGTATTTTCCAGATAAAGCTTTAATTATTGATTTTACTTGTCCAAAACTTATGAAGTGCTCTTGCCTTTTAAACCCTTAAATGGATTTTTTAAAAGGATGCTATGTATAGTTTAGACTCCCTACCCCGATTCATCCCCGTTTTGTCTTTGATTTTAATGTCAACATTTTGTTAAGTGAAATAAAGGATATGATCAGCCGAAGATAAACAAAAGTACGCACACCAGCATACGCAGATGGACCAAGTTGGAAGAAACATTAGCTAACATCATCAGGCATTCTCCAAATTGAATACTCATCTTGTCTGTTGGTACCAGCCTTTATGGGACTGTGTATAGCTCTATGCAATGTCAGCAGATTTTAGTCATTCTACCTCATTATTATTTTAATAAGCGAAACTCATAGGCATGGTGTCAGGATTAGGGCAAAGCCCACAAAACAGGGTGTGGGTGAAACCTTTTGTATATTCCTCCCATCTTCTCCACCTCTTAGTCATTACTTTCTGATATTTAATGTGGAAATGTAAAGTTTTCTCCACTCACTTGTTTCATTAGTGAACTCTCTCTGGGTTCAGACCCTGACAGTAGGGAATAATCTTCCTGTGTATCCTCTCCTATCCTATTTCTGACTCACATTTCTCCATAAGCACTTAAAGAACATTCAAAAGGGGGCACCTCAGTGGCTCAGTCAGTTAAGCGTCAGACTGACTTCGACTCAGGTCACGATCTCCAGCCCTGCATCTGGCTCTCTGCTGTCAGTACAAAGCCTGCTTTGGATCCTGTCCCCCTCTCTCTCTGCCCCCCTCATGCTTTCTCTGTCTCTCTCTTTCAAATAAATAAACATTTAAAAAAGCATTCAAAGGGAAGGCCTCTTCAAAGAATTTCATTTTGGAGATATTCAGCAACTATGATGAGCCCCCCAAATTTTAACGAATAAACTTAAAATGACTTTGGAGTTTCCAGAAATACGAATGGCTCCGAGAGCCTCAATTGCGCTTATTTAAAATATTGTCCCTGAGGAGAAAACTTTTCACTGTGTCCCTTCCAGCACGTTCCTTGCTATACCATGTGTCCCTAACCATCCTTGCTTTCCGTCTCCTAGTTGCTTCCACAATGACCAGTGGAACAAAAAGAATTGTCCTTGAGGTTTCTTCTATTATTGTAACATGATATTTGCTTGAAAGTGAATTCCTTCCTTGAATGATTTTCCCTGCTCATGGTAACTTCCCATACCTGTTTTCTCTCAATACCAGTTTCCTTCTGATAAAAGCAATACCTCCGGACTCAGAGGAAGGAAAGCACTCAGCCCCACCTCCACTTCACCACTGTGTCTCTTCCTCCACGCAACTGACTATGAGCTCTTCACAGTTTCACTTTCTGCTCTTTGCCCATCCTGTTTCCATAACTGACTTCCAGCATGGCTTTTACCTTATTCATAGACTTCCTGTGGACCCCCTAATTTGGAATGTCATCATTCATATTCATGACACTTTCAACAATCTTGCCTCGTAACCACTTGCTACCTTCAATGAGGTGAGATCACATCTGGACCCACCTTACTGGAATTTCACTACTGCCATTCCCTTGAACGCTGACATGCTCTCTGATGGCTATCTCCTATTCATCACACTCTCCTTCATTTTCAGCCCATTGACCCTCAGCCTTTTACTTTGCCTTTATTCTCTTATTGGCCCTGTTCTGGCTTCCTATGCTCATGGGAAAGCATTTTAGGGATGCTCATATTAGTCCCAGATGTTGCCTTCTATCTTGTACTTTACTGTAAATCTACCCATACCGCCCCCGTATTCTGCAGCTTGATTTCAACCCACCATCTGTGTCTGCTTTATCTGATGCTACTTCCGTAGTGTCCAGGGTTGCAGAAAGAAGATCATAACCAAGACTCTTGCTTCCACTACTTACTCACGTTACCTAACCTTGACTAGGATTTAAGGATTCCTAAGGTTGTCACTCTCTGCCACCACCCCTCCTGACTACTTGTCTTGCTTACTATCCCATATCTTCTTTCACTTTCCCCATCTTTAAGCCTGACACAGTAGACCAATGTGTTCCATGAATGAAAGCAAATCTAAACCATTCCAACCATCCCTACTATCTCTTACTTTACAGGGAGGTTTAGACCATCTAACCAGTAATACTTGTTTCATTGAAAACAGGGCCGTCAATACAGTTATCCAGAAAAACATCTGGGTGTTTCCCCGGAGCTCCTCTTATGCCGCATATTTAATCAGTTATAAGGTCTGGCTGTTCTACCATCTTATTTTCGAAGAGACATCACATTTCTCCATCCCTACTGTTCTCCTACTGCCTCAGGAGAAGATGTTATCCCTTGTCACACTGAGTACTCTGTCTTGTTCCTTCCCTTATGTTCTCCACACTGATATCACAATGATTTCTAATCACAAAATTGATTGCAGTCACTCCTCTACTTAAAACTCCTCTAGGGAAGCCTGGGTGGCTCAGCCAAAGTGTCCGGCTTTGGCTCAGGTCAGGATCTCATGCTTTGTGAGTTCAAGCCACGTGCTGGGCAGCTCAGAGCCTGGAGCCTCCTTCAGATTCTGTGTCTCCCCCTCTCTCTGCCCTTCCCCTGCTCATGCTCTGTCTCTCTCTGTCTCTCAATAATAAATAAAAATGTTTAAAAAAAATTAAAAAACAAAACTCCTCTAGGAGTCCCTACTGTTCTCAGGATCAATTCCAAACATCCCAGAATGTATTCAGGGTATTTGTGGGGCTGCAGCTTCTGATGAGCTCTCTGACCTCCCCAGTCCTATTAATCCATCTGCAGTTCCAAAACTTCTCCTGCCTCCAGACCTTTACACATTCTCCTCCCTCTAATGGAACAGCCTTCCTTCTCACCACTCTTATACCCCATATCTATGCTGTGGATAATTTCTTTGGGTTATAAGGGCAATTCTTTATAGCAGCATTTCTCTGGCTATTGAATATGATGTAGGGCCCCTGCCCACCCACTGTGCTTCCATAACCTGATATGCAGAATACTTACTTCGCTAAATTGAAATCATATTTTCACTTGTCTCATATCCCTTAGGTAATGTTATATGGCAGGATTTTAAGTTGAAAAGATCAATGGAGGCATCAAAAGATATCAGATACCAGTGTGAGCTGTGAATCAGACCACCAGAAGTTTTAAGAACCCATCAGGTAATCTATAAAACATTCACTTTTATCAAGAACATGGAAAGCTCAGATGTGAGGATTTGGAATGAGGGTGATTTGGGGGAGACCTGTGCTAACTATCACGCTTCTCTCTCCTCCATCCCCTGGCCCACACTGCAGAAAGTAGCTGAGATTTGTTCACATTATATAATAGGAGCTCGCATAATATCCATTGGCCACACGAATCCTGCATCTAAATTTCTATGCTTTATCACTATTACTCTCCTCATTTCTTCCTGTCTCAGAAGAAGTGGGATTTTTTTTTCCCCTTTCCAAAATTAAGACCCATCCCAGCTTTTCATTATTTCTCCTTTGCACTTCCTTTAGGAAATTCATTCATTAATTTTTCCTTCTCTCTCTTCAGTTTCAAATTCTACTTTACAGTCAATCTTTCCCCCTCTATGAGCACATACAAAGTCCTCTTATTATCAGAAACAGCAACATGTGACTTCTGCCCAAAATAGGATAACCAAGACTGGATTTATCTTTCTGGTTGAGACAAATTCCAGAAAAAAAAATATGTAAAACACTGGTTTTCATACACTGCACATCAGACAATGCAGGGTAGTGATCCCTTAGGAATAAGAAAAAAGTCATGTGAACCCTATTATTTTCTCACCAAGGAGCAAGTTTCCAGAGTATGGGGGAGGAAGAGCTTTGTGGAGGCCAGCTGTCTTTGTGAGTTGAGATGGTGAAGCAGCGTTTGCGGGTCCAAAGGAGCTAGAGTTCACAGAATACTATAGGAGAGAGCTGCATTCAGAGAAAGCTTGGGAGGTTGGCAAAGGGTCCTCCTTAAAGCTTCAGATAAATGCTGATCAGCACATTAAGGTGAGTAACTTATCTGAGGCCAAGGAAGAAGCATGCTAGAGGAGCAGAGGAATAATCTCCAGAGTTCATACATAGCCAGGAACAGTTTTTGTTTCCAGGAACTAGAGTGAAAAATTTACTAATTAATGGAGCACTGGATAGAGCACTCAGAAAAGTATTGCCTTGGTAGTG